TATTGTTCCGTGTAATGATTGTAATTTTAAAAGTTCTTCTGAATAATTATAGTTTTCATTTACAGTTCTTATAAAGATAAGCATTTGACTTGTATTGGAAATGTCTGTGCTTTCATCCAATGCTATGAAAAAATAGCAGCAACTATTGATTAGGTTTTCTAATTTATTAGTGACATGCATGCTAATCTCATTTACTTGTCGGCTTACAGTCTGGTGAGAAAGTGATACTGTTTGAAATTTTCTTACCATTTCATTGTCATTAAATGCTTGAGCCATTTTTATAGAACATTTTTTAATGAATTCTCTATCCAAAAATGACTTTTTTGCCTTTACTATTTCTAAACAAACTTCAAATGATGCAACTACAGATGCTTCTTGAAATTTGGTTCTTGATTAAAATAAATCGTTTGATGATCCAGTTGCTTTTTCATTTTTTTTACTAGTGGTATTTTCATGTCTCGCGTGTATGAATGATACTTTTTTCATGCATGGAAAGATAATGGTGCTTCAAGTTATATTCTTTACACACAGCTGTGATTTGTAAACATTCTAAACACTGTGGTTTACCATTCTTGTTCAGACTAAATAAATAATCTATCTCCCAGCGATCTTGAAATTCTCGATTTTCGAGGTCTATTTTTTCATTAGTAGCACTCATATTCAATAATTATTTTAATTATTAAATAAATATCCTGAAATTAAGTTAATAATATTATAAAACAGTGTCCCCTCAACAAATTCTAGACAAGACTGCACTCGCACGATTGCATGAATCAACCAAATAGCACAGGGTAGTGTGCGCATCACATGCGCCAACCATAGATAAACAACAACCAACCACAAATATAATATGTGCTGCCAATGTTTAGCCAACCATCATCAGACGTTAAACGGATTACTACTGTATTCAGCCAGGTTAAGTGAAGTTACGCAAACTAAATAGTACCTACTTTAAATTCAAATTAGATTTAAATTTTCACATAATAAAATAATTTGAATATTATTAATAATAATAATTTAGTAACAGAAATTTATTTATAGTAAAATGTACTTGCGGGCCGTAAAAATAATTTGGCGGGCCGCCGGTTGAACAGCCCTGATCTAAGTGACAATTCTGTTAAAACTGTGAACAATAAAATAAAATGTATGCATTTTAAAATTAATAATACAATATAATAATTTTAATACTTAAGGATCACTGATTTGTACACATAGTATAAAGATCAAATTAAATATTGAAGATTAAAATCACAAACTTAAAATTATGTTAGCATGCTCAATTGTTTGAAGATTTCATACAATGGCCTTCCCATCTTGATAGTGGGAATTTTATAATTTTTTAAGCAGATTAAAATACATGTAAAGAAATTTCATAATACACTTCAAACTGATAAAATACACAAGCAAAACACTTTAACAAAGCAGATGCAATACATTAAATGGAATAAATACATTCAAAAATAAAGATAATAACAAAGAAAGTATGGTAGCTCAGGTCTACCTAACAGGAATGAGCTACTTTATTCCTTTCTGTATGATATTATGATTTACCAATGTGTGAGAAAAAATTAAATAACGATCTAATAATGTAATTGACGGAAAGCTGAGGAGCCACTTTTAGCAGCCTGTCTGACTCGAGAGCCCTGACTTAGTTCTAAATAGTTTCAATACTGATTATGATCACTAATACATAAAGTTCTCAGTAAATACTTTCATAATGATTTTTAAAAGAGACATTCATAATTAAAATCAACCTTCCTTCCCCCCCAAAAAAAAAATTATACAAATTTTAAAGAAGCAGAACTTATATTTATATATTTCATAGTATTTTTTTAATTACACGTAAACAACAAACAAGGCAATGAGTGAGTGAATACAAAGAAAATATTTAGTCTCACATAAAATGACAATATTCAAAAATCATAAAATCTCCTTAAAATTAAGTTTGCAACAAAATCCTACAGATTAATCCTAGTTGAAAATGAATTCTTGCTGTGTTAATTACATATATATAAATACATACACAAAATCCTCACTCATGTAAGTTAATGTCTTGTTAAATTATCAAAGCAAATGTGATTTATAAATAATTAGGTAAATATTTAATAATTTACATTTCCAGCAATACATAATCATTCAGTTTATCGCCTCATAAGTATTCAAAGAAATTGTAATCTTATTTACATTTATTTATGAGTTATATCAAATGTCTTACAGCTAAATTTAACTTCTAAGCTAAAAAATATTGTTTTCATGTTTTTCGCTCCCTTTTATTTTAATTTTGTATAAATTGAGGCAATCTACTCAATGTAAAAATGGTTGTTTTTATCAAATAATAGTAAAACACATCTAGTTATTTTGATGCTCCAACACAAATAACAGGAGTTCTTGCAATAATTTCAGGTATTTAAACAACTTTAGATAAGCATTCAGAATGTTTCAGAAAATGTTTATTCTGGAAAACTTTAGAATGTAAGATATCCTTGTACTCTTTGGCACTGCAGATGAAATATATGAATACTACTTAAGTATTAGTGAAACCAAATTTTCAGAATTTGTCAAATGCTGGCAACCATGTGCGTAACAGTTCTTCAATTTTAACCAGCCAGCATCACCATTATTGTAAGTATTATTTATGTTGTAGTTCAAGCTCTCAAGGATTTTATAGATATACTGCAATGGAAGAATTTGCAGTAAAATGCTTTCAGGAATACATATTTTTCTACAAAACTGCTTTGAATCTGTTCCTAAAGGAGCTGAAAACAATTTTTACCAGTTCATAAGGAAAAGGGAGGGGGGACAGCTAGCAATAATGTTTATTGATTGATTTTTCTCAATATATACTTATTTAAAATATTAAAAGATATGCATGTAATATATATACTCCATTATTAACCGTCTGACTGCTCAATTTTTTAAACAATATTGCTTAAAAAATTTCAGATTATTTTATTTTGTATTTGAAATTTACATCTCAATTCATGAAATTTACTAGACAACCAATCCCATATGTTGAACAAAACATGATTTAAAATCTAAATACAGTACAAAATGCATTGCTGATGGTTAAATATTGAAACAACACAATACACTTTTAACAGATATAATAAATGCATGCCTATGGATACCATGGGATGAGCAAATTTTTCTACATTAATGTTGTCCATGGAAACAGCAGAATAAGCAGTCAGAGGGTTAAATGATAAGAAAAATTACTACTTGCAGGACTTTTAAAAATTTAAGCATTTAAAAATGCATTAAAAAACAACCAGCACATTTCTTAAGAAAACTTTGATATTAAATTGCTTAACAGATTATTAATCAAACCACTAAGATCAGAAATGGCATAATTCACTGATTCACAATTTTATAAAAGAACAAAATAAGACTGCACTGACTCTTTACTTCTAGCACTTCATTACACAAAATTTTTTTAGCAGTTCTGATTGAAATACTCATGATGTTTATTTGTATGGAGTACTGGCTACATAGACATTCCATACACCAAAAGCCAGTTTTCAGGCTGAACCTAAAGGCTTCAAATGAACATACAAATGCTCTTGTCAAGGAAATCAAATTCAATTTGATGAAAAATATATTTGAGATTAGTAGACATGTAAGACTAGTCGATTTAAAACTATGCGGCAGATTATCTTTTGAGGCAAAGGATATTTATCCAGAATGGAGATTGCATTTAACTTCCTATAGTTTATGCCCAGTCTAAAAGTTCCTTTCAGTTTTGATATTAAACAAAGAAGGAGCATGTTAGATTCACATATTTTAATGAAATCCTTTTATAAAGTATCATCAAGTTCTTTTCTCAAAATTTGCTTTTCATTCAAATATAAATGATATGGTGAGGCTAAATTTGGAACGTGATTTCTAAGTTTATATGTCACAGAATGAAAAGCATTAACTCCCCCTTGGTCAAAAGATTCTTCGAATTTTCTCAAGCAATATATATAAATTAATTATTATTATTATTATTATTATTTGGTGGAGATTCACCTTCATTCTTTTTGGATGAACTTGAATTCACTTCAACTTCCTGATAGGATTGGCTGGTATGGGTACACCCTTTGTCAAAATGAATGTTTACTTAAAACAATGTTACTTAAAAGCTTTGTAATAGTCCCATTTCTGTAGTTCTTTATGCCAACTACGTCTGCAAACTTAAGTGCATTAATAAGCCTAAGACATCAGAAAATCATTTTACATATTTGTATTTTAATACTCTACATAGTCATGTTCACATACTAACAAAGATAAATTTTTCTGTTTCTAGAAACCAGTTAGCAACATTTATTATTACAATTACTTTTTAACGAATCTAGCTTTGCATTTTCATGCTCTGTAGTATTCATATGTAGATTATACTTGCATACTTTTATGGCTGAGATTTATTTGCCTTTGCAAGTTTCACATAATATAATGTAGAGGAGAAATAATGTTAAAAATCTAAATATATATACATAATATGAAGATAACCATGATTTGGAAAAGTGATAGGTCTCTTTATAATATGATTGGTTTCATTATTAACACTCTTGAACATTTTTTGGTGTAACAAAAAATGAAATTTTCGGTTTTAGTTCAGAAACTATTTAATATCTGTTTACCTACTGAAAGATTATGAAACAAATATTTTCTTACAATAAATTATTAGTCTTTCAAATTAAAAAAAATCAACTAAAATGTTTTAAGTAAACATTCAAAGCTTTTCCAAGTATTGCCACATTGTATAACACTTAATACCTTTTATGAAGCTAAGTATTTTGATGATCTTTTATCCATTAAGATAAATTGCTCACTTTGAATGCACTTGAAAAATCATAAATGTTCGGTCATATTCTGTAACAATTTAACAAAGAGAAATACATTTTGCATGGCACATTGAGCATTTATACATATGATCATTGGATCTCTCAATGAAGACAACCAACCATGATAAATATCATGCAAACAGTGTAAATGATGCTGCTTAGAAAACTGGAAGTTTTCTATTTACTCATTTTGAAAATTCATTTAACATTCTGACTAGTGTAAAAATATCACGAACTTTTGGCTTTTAATAGAAGCTCCATAATTCTTCATTTATTAAAATAGAAAACAGAGTTCGTATTCTTTATGTTCTTTTATGGCTGAGATTTATTTGCCTTTGCAAGTTTCACATAATATAATGTAGAGGAGAAATAATGTTAAAAAATCTAAATATATATACATAATATGAAGATAACCATGATTTGGAAAAGTGATAGGTCTCTTTATAATATGATTGGTTTCATTATTAACACTCTTGAACATTTTTTGGTGTAACAAAAAATGAAATTCTCGGTTTTAGTTCAGAAACTATTTAATATCTGTTTACCTACTGAAAGATTATGAAACAAATATTTTCTTACGATAAATTATTAGTCTTTCAAATTAAAAAAAATCAACTAAAATGTTTTAAGTAAACATTCAAAGCTTTTCCAAGTATTGCCACATTGTATAACACTTAATACCTTTTATGAAGCTAAGTATTTTGATGATCTTTTATCCATTAAGATAAATTGCTCACTTTGAATGCACTTGAAAAATCATAAATGTTCGGTCATATTCTGTAACAATTTAACAAAGAGAAATACATTTTGCATGGCACATTGAGCATTTTATACATATGATTCATTGGATCTCTCAATGAAGACACCAACCATGATAAATATCATGCAAACAGTGTAAATGATGCTGCTTAGAAAACTGGAAGTTTTCTATTTACTCATTTTTGAAAATTCATTTAACATTCTGACTAGTGTAAAAATATCACGAACTTTTGGCTTTTAATAGAAGCTCCATAATTCTTCATTTTATTAAAATAGAAAACAGAGTTCTGTATTAGTTAACTAATCTGGCATACATTGAAAGATGAAAATTCTATACCAGACATTTTTGCTGTATATTTTGTAGATGTTAATTAAACATTCTTTACTTCTTCTAAATCATAAAATGTAATAAAATTTAATCCATCCCCTGGAATAGGAGAAGAAATAAATGGACACAATATAGCCATATACCATTTTATTCCAAGTACCTGCAAGATATTCTTTTTCCAACCTAGATCATAAATTGTAATACCAGCTCTTTTCTCATGAATAGTTTGACCAGTGAATATACACTGTATTTGCACAATCAACAAATATGAAGTTAAGATAAAGACAGCCATCAGAATAATTTGAGTGATAGTGCATATAAAACCATATATACTTAGGAAACCAAATAATACTGCAATGTGAGGAGCAGCCATAGATAAAATAGGTAATAAATGGAAACCACCAATAGATTCCAAGCAATGAGGCCACTGGAAAATGGCAGCACACAATGAACCTAGAAGTAATAAGAATAATTTATTTTAGTAAACAATTAGACTTAAAACTATATATTTGATCTCTGAATTATGTAAGCTATAAAGCACACTATGCACTTAACAATTTTTATTTAATTCTTTCCTCAAAAACTTAGCAATACTATAAATAAGACACTAACATATAATTTATATTACATGCTACAATTTTATTCTAAAGTATGCTACATAAAAGAAACTTCTTTAAATGAAATCATATGAGACAGTGTTGTTACGGATTTTGTATTTAGTTAGCAATTTTTAGTAGAATTTTAATTAAAATTGTTTTACTTCCTCGTGTAATGAAGCATGTGATGAGTTTTAAAAGAAAGCTATGTCCAAATAGTAAAAATATAGGAGCATGCGCATCTAATAAATAGATATCTCGTAATTTACAATTAAACTGAATAAATGTAATTGACTACTGTGTTAGCTATGACCGTAATTCTATTCTTTTGCTTTCCAGAAATTGTTAGAACTGTCTCATGCGGCCGATTTATAAGGCTTTAAAAAGCCACAGAGAAACATCTCAGTTCAGTTGTTTACTCAGTTATTGTTTACTTAGCTGCTATAATTTTGAGATTAGATTACCTTTCTCTGTGCTTTGGATTGCATTCTATTTAATGTTTTAGTAGTTTAAAATATAACTGCTGTGTGATATTGTACAAATATCTTTGAGGAAAAACCTAGCGTTTTTTTACATTTCTTGTGATAAGAATAAATTTTACTAACTTTTTATCAGACTTGTGCATTCACGAACCTGTACGCATGCAACACTTTTTGGTGATCAGAAGTGGAATTGAATCCCAGTGACTAGAGCGACGGAAGAAGAATTAAGGCAGTTGATAAAAATTTTCCATTTGCTGCTTTCCAAGAAAAGGTGAAAGGGGCCGTCTCAATTTAGTTAAAGTAGTGATGAAAGCTCTTCAAGTAAAGATGGAAACTGATCAAGAATCAGTTAAAGAAAGATGGAAGCTGGTCAAGAATCAGTTAAGAAAGAGATGAAAACTTTAAAAAAAAAAAAAAAAAAAAAAAAAAAGAGAAAAGATTGAAGCAGGTCAAGAAGAAATGAAAGCAGAAATTACCTGCATAATAGAAAACAAGTTCAAGGCTATGGAAGGAGGAATATAGATACAGCTGAAGACACAGTTGGAGAAATTCAAGAAGAGTTTCTGGAGCAGCAAATTGAAGAAAGAGTTTCTGCCGTCCAACAACAAATTGATCAGAGGGTTTCTGCTGCTGTCGCCAAAGAAGTTAACAGGGTTTTAAATTTCTACCCATGCCTGCTCATCCCTTACTGAAGCTATCCACGTATGATAGGAAGACTTCCTGGCAAGTATATAAGACACAATTTTCTGTAGTGGCAGATGCGAATGGATGGGATTCCCAAGCTAAGGCCTGTCATCTTGTCGCTTCTCTGAGAGCAGACGCTGCAGATATTCTTCAAACTCTTCCAGAAAACCATAGACTTCAAAGCTCTATCTGGTACATTGGAGCTGTGCTTTGGCAAGAAATTTTTAAAAGACTACAGTAAGCTTCAATTAAATCCAGCCCACAGAAACACTTCAGGAGCTCACCACAGATGTTGAAAGGGCTGTTCTGTCTCACCTTTTCGAAGTGCCTGAAAGAAACAAGGGAAATCCTGTCCCTGCAGTACTTTATCGATGGCATCTGGGATCCTGAAATACAGAAAGCTCTGAGAATGATGGATGTGAAGGACTTAAAAAGTCCTCTAGTGTACGCCATGAAATTTGAGACAGCCCAGCAAGCAACTCGTAGAGACCGCCACCTAGTCAGAGATGTGCAAGTCCATGAGCCAGTGGATCAACTGATGGCTTGTTTAGATGATTTATCCGGATAAGTCAATGCTTTGATACAGAACAAACTGACTCTAAAGAAGAGTGAGAACAAACTGACTCTAAAGTGTTGGAAATGTGATGTTGAAGGCCACATACAAAAGAACTGCAGAACACCCCTGGGTACGAAAAATAAGACAGATGATATAGACAGACAATTAAATGCAATGAGACTGAAAAGGAGTGACAAGAAACCAAAGTGCTGGAACTGTGGATCTGAAGACCATGCATGAAGGAACTGCAGAACACCCCAATACACGGAAAATAAGACCATTTCCCAGCAATGACGAAGGAAACAAATTAATTACCATAACGCAGAGTGGAGTTCAATAACAATAGTGGAAAACCTGTTTTAAAGCACTCAAGATTTCTGCAGTGAGTGGCAACAATAATGTACTATTCATCAATGGGCATATCGATAGATTTCCTTGCAATATAATCATTGACACAGAAGCTAATGTTACCATCATTAGGAAAGATTTAGCTCAACAATTTAAAAATACACTCATTTGGATGTTATCCTGTGTTACCCTCCAGACTGCGTCTGGTGATGAAATCAACATAGATGGGAAGTTAAATGTAAACATCACGTTTGGAAGTGCCACCTATTATCACACGGCATATGTGGCAGATATTACAGATGCTTGCATACTCGGATTGGACTTAAGGAAATATAATTTTTCCTTGGGCTTCAGAAATAACAAACTATTTTCAGCATCAGAGGACACAACTATCCGTCATCAGAAGGGATTCTCACCTGGTAATGCCAACGTATTGTCTGAAAGACCCTGCTCAGAAATCTGCCGAAATCATACTAGGGTCAAAGAGAAACACAAGACTACCAACTATTCTTCTTCCCAGATGCTCATCGATTGTGACCTCCACCTGCCCTGTGATCCTTTATTTAGTCACCATCTGGATGCACCTTCAATGCCTGAGGAATACATCCAAGATCTCCAGGCTCATTTTGAAGTGATACAAAATTTTGCAACGGAGAAGATGAAGACCCAATATGACCCCAGAGCTACTGGACATCGATTCAACGAAGGAGACAAGGTGTGGTTGTGGAATCTGACTCAATGGAAAGGACCAAGTCCTAAACTACAGTCACCTTGGGATGGTCCATATACAGACCTAAATAGACTGAATGACATCATGGTTTGGATCCGTAAGTCATCGAACTCTAAGCCTAAAGTCGTTCATTACAACAGGTTAGCTCCTTACTATGGCCATAGTACATAGTATATATAATATAAATAGCATAAGACCATGGTCTTTTTTGTTTCTAAATTTGTAAATTTGTGTACTAATTTATTTATTTAGTATTTGATTTGTTTAAAGTTACTTATTGCAATTATTGTTTATGTTGCTTGTTATTGCAATGTAAGGTGTAGTATTAAATTGATGCTTTAGTTGTAAGTTTGGCTTCCTATTCAGGGATTGTAGGATTGTACTGCCCGGGATGTGCAGTCCTTGGGAAGGAATTATTGTTAGGGAAGGTGTTATGGATTCTATATTTAATTAGCTATTTTTAGTAGAATTATAATTAAAAATTGTTTTATTTACCCGTGCAATGCAGCACATGGCGAGTTTTAAGAGAAAGCTACGCCAAAAAAGTAAAAATACAGGAGCACACGCATTTAATAAATAGATATCTTGTAATTTATATTTAAAACTGAATAAATGTAATTGACTAGTGTGTTAGCTGTGATTGTATTTCTACTCTTTTGACTTCCAGAAATTGTAAGAACTGTCTCACATGGCTTATTTAAAAAGTGGAGAGAAACATCTCAATTTGGTTGTTTACTTAGCTGCTGTAATTCTGAGATCAGATTAGCTTTCTTTGTGCTTTGGATTGCATTCTATTTAACGTTTTAGTAGTTTAAACTATAATTACTGTGTAATATTGTATGAATATCTTTGAGGGAAAAAAGCCTACCGTTTTGTTACATTTCTTGTGATAAGAATAAATTTTTAAAACTTTTTATCGGACTTGCACATTTAATCAATTATGAACTCATACGCACGCAACAGTATGTCTGCATTAATGTATTAAATTTTTTGATATCATAAAGTCAAGCCATCAGTTTACAAATCAATTATCTCTGTATTAGTATGCACTGCAATACTGTCTTATAGGATATAAAAAGCTAGATATGTTACATATATTATATTGGAGCTTCCAACTATCATCGACAGATGACACTATCACTGTAATCAAAGCCAATGCTATGTATTTTTCCGCCTGGTGCAATTTCTGCAGGTCCTAAATTTTACTATTCTGTACCTTCCTAATTCTGTACCACTCAGTACCTCTCCTAAATTCTAAAAATTTTATCCTTTTAGAATTTTTCGGGGAAAGTGCAGAATCGCCCACTGCTTGGCGCGTTTTTCAAAATCGCTAACTTGGCGCACTCTTGCGCCTTGTATCCTGGAAGTGCAACCCCTCCAGAAGACACTACGCAAGGCATGACATTTACAATGGTGAACAGGTAAAATAAATACAAAAAAAAAAAAAAAAAAGTTGAAGCAAAATTTTGAAAACTGAAAATTCCGTACTTTTCCGTTTTGCCGGCGCAAGCGATAAAGTCGCCAATAATGGTACCCGATGCCAAACGGAATATTCTCGCTGGTAACCTTTTACGCCTCATTTTCAAAACAAGTCGCAGCTTTTTCTTATCAGATTGATTGTTTCTTTCAATAATGGCATATAATTACATAGAATTTTTATCAGATAGTTCAGTTTTATGTCTAAAGCCATTTTCGGTAATTAGGTCAATTAGGATGCAATCACAGCGCTTACCCGAAGGCCGAAAATATAGAAAAGAAACAGTCAAGGGTTAAATTCATCCAATTCTAATGAAGAATGCATTAGCGAAGTAAAGCACTGCAGTTTTACATAATTTCTGAGTAAAGCTATTCGTACGCATTGAAATATTTCTTGCATTTAAACTTGTGTTCCAAATTAAGATTTAACTTGAAATTAATGTAGATAATTACGGAGAGCATTAGATTTTTGTAGAGTAGTTTACGTGAGATGAGATCGCTTGGAGTCACGTGATATGAACCGGCGAATTAGGATGTTGAACCATGAAAGCATAGTAAATTCTTAAATTAATGTCTTTTTACAAATTTATTGTCTTTATTTATTGGCTTTTTATAAAGTTTTAAGCAATATAAAAATGTTTATGCCTTCAAAAAAAAAAAAAAAAAAAAATCTTAGAACTAAAATTTTTTATGTGTATACTGTATGTTGTCGCCAATAAAGTCTGCTTGGCGAGATTTGCGTCGGCGAAACGGAAAAGTACCAAAAAAAAAAAAAAAGTTGAAGCAAAATTTTGAAAACTGAAAATTCCTTAAAAACAGCATAATAATTTTTAAAAACAAACATGGTTAATAAAACATAATAAGCTTCAAAAACTTAAAATCATTACAAAACCCTGAAGAATTGAAATACATTCACCTATAAAAAATTGGGGAAAATGCAGAATCACCCACTGCTTGACGTGTTTTTTACAATTTCGGTATCCATGTACACATCAACCTACTTTCACTTAAAAAAAATCCCAGAATTGCACCAAAATGGCACTGTGCACTCCTTTGAACTATATCCATGTACACATCGACCTATTTTCACTTAAAAAAACATAAGTGCCCACCCACTGTTTGATGTGTTTTTAAGAATTTTACCAACTTGGTATCCATGTGCACATCGACCTACTTAAAAACATCCCAGAACTGCACGAAAATGGCATTGTGCACTCCTTTGACTTTATCCATGTTCACATCGACTTATTTTCACTTAAAAAAACATCTCAGAATTGCACAAAAATGGCAAAAATGGCTCTTGACTTTATCCTTGTACACATCAACTTATTTTCACATAAAAAGTCAAAGAAAATTGAGAAAAATCTAATTCTTCTTATTCTTGTAAAAAGCACCAAACAAATAAGTGGGAAACTTTTAAAAATGGAAATCCTTTCAAAAAAACCTATTAACTTTAAAAACTAAAATTGTTTCAAAAACATAGTAAGTTTAAAAAACATAAAATCCTTACAAAATCCCTGAAAAATTAATACTTTCACTTCCAAAAAATTTTAAAATATGAAAATCCAGTCCTTCGAAAAACATAATTTTAAAAACTAAAAATCGTTTTAAAAGTAACATAGTAAGTTTCAAACACTTAAAATTGTTACAAAACACTGAAAATTTAAAATACTTTCACTTGTCTGAAAAGGGGTAATCCACTCCGCTCAGTCGAAGAACGAAAAGTAAGGAATTCTCAAAATGTTCTTGAATTATTGTTTAAAATAACTGCACCTCTAACATCTATTATCATCTACACCAAACAGAAATTCTAAATTTTAAAATACACACTGAGCACGCGCAATAATGCTCCGAATTTCGCGCTCAAAAGAAATTCTCGGTATGGTAACAGGTAGTTTGGCGACATTTTGGTAAGGCGATAAAGGTTACTAGCTAGGACTTTAGCAGTGTACATGGATAAAGTCAAGAGTGTGCGCCATGCCATTTTCGTGCAATTCTGGGATGTTTTTTCAAGTGAAAATAGGTCGACATGTAGATGGATTATACTGTGTATGTGCAATTCTTAAAAACACGGCAAGCAGTGGGCGATTCTGCACTTTCTCCCAATTTCGCGCCTAATCTTCGTCATGATTAAGAACTTGGTTAATCTTTGAATTATGGTAACTTCTCGATTTTTTTGCAAAAATTTGGCGACCAACCCTGCTACAGCAACCTGCTAGTTTTTGTTTGGACGCCATTTTGTTTTCACAAAGTAAAAATATGTTTCTTTCTTTTTTTTTTTTTTTTTTTTTACGAAGATTAGGTGCAAAATTGGGAGAAAGTGCAGAATCGCAAACTGCTTGCTTCGTTTTTAAGAATTGGACATACACGGTATCCATGTACACGTCGACCTATTTTCACTTAAAAAAACATCCCAGAATTGCACAAAAATGGCATTGCGCACACTCTTGACTTTATCCATGTACACTGCTAAAGTCCTAGCTAGTAACCTTTATCGCCTTACAAAATGTCGCCAAACTACCTGTTACCATATTCCAAAGATTAGCCAAGAACTTTTGTTCCATAAAAGTTCTAGCATCCATAAAAGCGTAATTCGGCTAGCGGATAGTTGGAAAAAAAATGTTGAATAAAAAAAAAAAAAAAAAAAAAAAAGATGCCTTTTCTTTGTAAAAACAAAATGGCATCCAAAAACAAACTAGCAGGTTGCTGTAGCAGGGTTGGTCGCCAGAAAGTTTGCTGTCCCTTCACTCACTGCAGTCTGCCACTCACTGCAGATGCACCAGCCCTGGCACTGGCATTGATTGTAATCTATTATGAAAACATGGACAGAGAAATGTTATAGGTTTATAGTTAACTGTAACTCCTTTTGCATTACATCAGAGAAAAATACCATGATGATAAATCAGTGCTTGGTTGTCATAAATGCATATTGCTCATTTTGTTTTGATTATGCTCTATAATTCAAATTTATGGCATTTTCTCTAGGGTTGCATACAGTATGATACATACTAATTCAGAAGTCAAACAACAAAAATCAGCGTTATATTTACAAAATTTTCACAGGACTAGTTTCAATGGTTTTACCGAACCACCATCTTCAGCTACAAAACCCCATATGAACAAGATAGGAAATAATGATTAGATAAGATAAGAAAGCCTGGACAAGAATAAGCAAGTGGCGCCATCTGTTGGTGAAACCAGAACTAAAACATAATTTCTTTAAAGGCCGAAGGCAAATTTGGATTGGAATTAGGATCGTTAACTAGAACAGAAAGATTTTTATGAATGTGAAATGCCTCTAGAAAATCCAGTTCTCCAATGGAAAATTTTTTTTGAATAATTTTGGCAGCAGAAAAACTGAGAGTGTGGTTTTCGGACCGACAATGTTGAGCAACAGAAGACTTCTGTGTTTCCTTTTTTCTAACATATGCCTCATGTTCCTTGACGCGAAACTTCAAGGCTCTCTTAGTTTGGCCAATGTAAATTAAACCACACTGGCAAGGAATCCTATAAATACCCCAGGAATTCATATCCGATCATCATTCATATATTAAATATTCATATCATCATTCATATATTAAATTTCTGCAAAATATGTGCAACTTTTAAAAGTTGCACATATTTTGCAGAAATTTAACTTTCGGGTTGTTTAATCCGAAATCAATAAAATTCCGAGTTCCATACTCAAGGACCCCATTCCGGATATGAATTCCTGGGGTATTTATAGGATTCCTTGCCAGTGTGGTTTAATTTACATTGGCCAAACTAAGAGAGCCTTGAAGTTTCGCGTCAAGGAACATGAGGCATATGTTAGAAAAAAGGAAACACAGAAGTCTTCTGTTGCTCAACATTGTTGGTCCGAAAACCACACTCTCAATTTTTATGCTGCCAAAATTATTCAAAAAACATCTTCCATTGGAGAACTGGATTTTCTAGAGGCATTTTACATTCATAAAAATCTTTCTGTTCTAGTTAACGATCCTAATTCCAATCCAAATTTGCCTTCCGCCTTTAAAGAAATTATGTTTTAGTTCTGGGTTCGCCAACAGATGGCGCCACTTGCTTATTCTTGTCCAGGCTTTCTTATCTTATCTAATCATTATTTCCTATCTTGTTCATTTGCGGTTTTGTAGCTGAAGATGGTGGTTCGGTAAAACCATCGAAACTAGTCCTGTGAAAATTTTGTAAATATAACGCTGATTTTTGTTGTTTGACTTCTGAATTAGTATTTATTCGGCGTGTTATTGTGTCTTAAGTATGATACATATTGAGAGCTCTGGAAAACTTACAATCTAGTAAGAATAATTAAGATGAAACTAAGGCAAAAATGCTGTTTGAACATTACTTTTTTCAGTACGATAAAAGAGAAGAAGCCTATCAGACCAAAACACATATTCCTATAATACCATTTAGATGGAACATCTTAGGAGGAATCTTAAGTAATTTGGTTATGCAGCTAGGTATTGTAATCCTTCCATCTTTCTGAAACCCCCTTTTTTTGGTGGGGTGCTCAAATAATAAGATGTAATTTGAAATCTGCCTTCATATCCATTCTGAAAGAACACATTTCTAGAAAAAAACTAAGCAGAAAATTCTGTACATAATTAAGCAGATTACACATATTCACTATTTTCTGTGTTTGGAAACATTATTATGAGTATTTATTAAAAATATTTTCCAAGGACAAAAATTAAATAGAAAAAAACATAGGGTAAAGTGCAGAATTGCCCACTTATTTGTTTGGTGCTTTTTACAAAAGTAAGAAGAATTGGATTTTTGATGACTAGGTCGATGTATACATGGATACCGAGTATTCTACAATTCTTAAAAACGTGCCAAGCAGTGGGTGATTCTGCTTTTCCCAAAGAGTATATCCGAAAGCAGTTATATCATAATATATATCACAAATATAAGTATATATATTTTTATATCCTCAGCTGATGATTAGTGTATCAACAATTAATTTATGAAAACATAGTTGATTTTATAAAATAACTCTAAAATTGCAAGCAACATTTGCAAAAGTTATAACTATATAATGTTATATTATTTGTCTCGATATTATAAAAATATAAATATATATTACATTTTCTGAACGTATATTTGATTGGATAATTGATATAATATATATATACATAACACAAAACATACTTACCTATCATGATATACATAACTGACATGAGATAGTATCTGTGATTGTAAAAGCCGACGCAACAACCCGCAAACATACAGTGCTGATCTCTTTTCAAGATGCATTCATCGCAAATAGGGCAATGATAAGCTCTCGGTGGAGAATTCATTTGGCAAAAGTGGCAATATGTCCAGTTTGGTCTCAGTACTGATGGTAATTTTTTATGCTTCCCAGAAGAATCTACATGTTTTAAATAAAATAAATTGCCCAGCACATTCATTAACAATATGATTTCAAATACTATGAGGCTACATGAAAACAAATCGAGTTCGGAATGATAGCGAAATAAAATTACTGTTTCCCATATGGCGAGAGCCGGAACACCAACTGTCATTAAAAGAAACAGGCCTCGATCTAATTTATTTTTCGGTAGAATTTCTTTTTTGCTAATAGGCAAAACACTTTCTTGTGGCTCATTCATATTCAGCATTCAAGTGTTTGTTTACAAAATCACAAGATTCGAAAATCTCATCGTTACAGTCGTAGTCAAAGTAAAATACCGGAACAAGTAAATTCTAAACTGGAAGAATAAATGATAAAATAAAAATTCAAAGTTAAAATTAATAAATTAATTTGAGCTTCTAATTAATATATTTATTATTAACAAAATATTGCTTTTTTCATAGGAAAAAACACGTCACATGTCTTTCATTGAAGTTGTGTTTTTACGGATATGGGAACAGTTATAAATAAACTGTATTTCTCCTTACGGAAATGGATGTGATGTAACTTTATTATGATTCTGTGTATTCATGTTGTCTTTTTAGGATATAGTAATAACTTCGCTTTTATCTATAAGATTGTAAATAGTATTTAAAAGCGATTGTGAAGAACTTTTCTATATATGCTAGGCATGGCTGCTATATTGTCTCAATATAGTTCGACAGGTTTTTGTAAGTTTACAATTCATTTGTACGCTACTCCTTTTCTACATTCTTTTAATTCTGTAGTTGTAATTGATGTTAAATGATTAATTCTACATTCTCATTTTACCTGGCATATTAGTTATTATAACGATTTCACCAACAATATGTATTCAATATTATTTTTAAATGTACAGGCTGTATGAAACAGAGGAAACGCTAAGAGAAAGCGAAATATTATTAAGTTATGTGATACATAAAACAACCCAATCGCGTTTTTTAGTAGCACTAAAGAATATGTTACATAACAGGAGTGGATAATAATTACAAATGTGTCACATTATTCTTCGTACAAAAATTGCTTCAATTCTCAGAGAGATGTTGAAGGAAGGCTATAGGATATCCATCCTGTTAGTCTGCATAGTTTACATTGACAAAAGATAATGAAGGGTTGTGATTCTGTTAAATCAGAAGAGATATGCAATTTCATTCGGAAGCATTGCTGTCTGAAACCTGCCTCTGAGGCAAACCGTTATTGACTATTAACTGTATGAGTATTATCTATCACCTTAAAAGCTACAGTTTCTTGTGAGAAACAGTATTTGTGCCTAGTCTGCATTCTAAGTTTCTGATAGTTTTCTGATTAATAATTAGATTCTGAAGTAGAACCTATTTTGAAGATTGGTTTGAAAGCCCAAATACATTTTTCTGTTATGTTCTGCATTTTATGTTCCTGGTACCAATATATCTGTTTTTGGTTGATCTTTACATTACGGTAACTTGGCGAAAATTTGGCAACCAACTCCCCTACAGCAACCCTCTATTTTTTTTTCCCCGCCGCCATTTTGTCTTCACGAAGTAAAGACATATTTCTTTTCTTCTTATCTACTGAACACTTCTTCCAACAATCTACTAGCCGAATTACACTTATGCTAGAAATTTTATCAAACAAAACTGCTTAATCATGACAAATATTCACTGCAAAATTCGGAAAAAGTGCATAATACCATACACCTTACGCGTTTTTCAAAATAACACATACACATAAACCATGTACACGCCGACTTATTTTTACTTAAAAAAAATCCCAGAATTGCACAAAAATGGCATTGCGCACACTCTTCACTATATCCATGTACACTGCTTTTTTCTCATAAATTCGAAAATTTCACGAAAATACATGACAATTTTCTCAATCTCTTTAAACCCGCTAAAAAAGAACATATATGAAATTACCTGATCGCGAAAAAGTATTTACCCTTTACAAATATGAACATTCTACATATAAAATAAATAAAATATCCAAAAACTTTTACCTCTAAATCATCTATTACATTACACATCACCAACGAATTCATACATGAAGCATTACAAATATTTATTATCAAATATTTAAATTATTTCCATGCATGTTTATTTCAAACTTAAACATACACCAAATTCCTAAGTATAAATTTAAAAAATAACTATCATTTCATTAATTAATATAATTAAATTCAAAAACACCACTTACTTAAATATACATGAGCACATACATTCAATTAATAAAAATTACCTTACAATCCTAATTACTTTAAACTAAATCATTGCTAATAACAATTTTCCCAATAATACCAAATTCCTTTCCACCTTACATTTCCAACAATGCATAAAAATAATTAAAAATACTAACTTACCTAATCTCCTTCAGAATCTTCATTACGTGGCGGATACACTTTTCTTCATTCTCTTTCAGAATCTTTAAAATCATACTTATCTTTCAAAGCAAGATACCACGTAAAATAAATAACATAATAAAACATGTTTATTTCTCTCTCACACAACCTTAAAAAACATTTCTTACTATCCTTTTCAATACCACTAAATACCCATTTCGAATTCACTTTACTTACGGCCATGGGATCCAAAAATTCACAAACACTATTTCACACAACACAGAATAAAGCCAAATACAAAATTCCCAGATTTTTCCCCATTAAAGAACAGTAATTCGTCCATTAAAATCACAGGACATATCCCATGATCTCTTCCGATTAAAGAACCATAATTCGTCCATTAATATCACATGACATATCCCATGATCTCTCATTTCCCCCACACAAAATAATGCGTAATCGGAACTCAGTACTGCTCACATTATTACCAAAGTCCCAGGTAGTAACCTTTATCGCCTCCAAAAATGTCGCCAAACTACCAGTTACCGTAATGTAAAGATCAACCCTGTTTTTTTACTTTCGTATGGAGTAAAACAAATACTGTAATTGCTGTAATTGCAAGAAATGTCGGGTATCGTATTTCAGGGGAAATATCCATTTGCATGCTGTATGTATAAACAGAATAATAGGATTTTTTCCAAAACAGATTGTAAAATGGATTCAGAAGGGATTTTTTTGTGATGTTTGTAAATATGTATGTATGTATCTTGCATAACTCAAAAATAAGAGTCAAAAACAGTTAGCCAGAGAACATTTAAATTTTATTTATGGGACTGGGTTGTATATATAACATCTAGTTTTGCACTTTTTTTTATTACAGTCAGTAGTACCAAATTTATATATATATATATATATATACACACACAGACATACCTACCACTTTACACAGCTTGCATTAACCAGCTATGTTACCAATCTCGCTTGCCTAACAATGGTCAGCACAAGCCCATGGGATTCATCATAGCAGGGAGACAAATGTGCCTGTCGGTGGCAGGAGCCTTGAGCACCATATAAGTGACAACTCGAAATTAGCTCATTTGTGCTTCCAATTTTGAGAGAGAGCACCCCAGGGAGACATATCCGAGGGTCTCCTATCCCTTTTCCCCTACCATCAACCTCTCAAGAGGACTTTTGGCTTGCTACATATGTAAAGTGCCCCCATACTGCACAGAAAATATACATTTACAAATACCCTTGCCTTCTCTGGTATTCGAGCCCAGGTTCTTCAGTATGGCAGCCAGAGTCATTAACCACTATCCTGGTTGATCATAATGAAAATAGTCATGGGTAAAAATATATTTAGGGTGCCCTTTGGTGGTATATGGACACTAAGTTTGTGGGCTAATCTTTGGAATATGGTAACAGGTAGTTTGGCCACATTTTGGTAAGGCGATAAAGGTTACTAGCTAGGACTTTAGCAGTGTACATGGATAAAGTCAAGAGTGTGCGCAATGCCATTTTTGTGCAATTGTGGGATTTTTTTTTAAGTGAAAATAGGTCGACATGTACATGGATGATACCGTGTATGTGCAATTCTTAAAAACGCGGCAAGCAGTGGGCAATTCTGCACTTTCTCCCAATTTCGCACCTAATCTTCGTCATGATTAAGCACTTTTGTTCCATAAAAGTTCTAGCATAAGCATAATTCGGCTAGCAGATTGTTGGAAAAAAATTTTGAGTTAAAAAAAAAAAAAAAAAAAAACCATGCCTTTACTTTATGAAAACAAAATGGCTTCCAAACAAAAACTAACAGGTTGCTGTAGCAGGGTTGGTCGCCAAATTTTCGCCAAGTTACCATATTCCAAAGATTAGCCAGTTTGTGCAATTCTTTGTCTTGCTATTTTGGCTTTGTGACAAAAATCGTCACTACACAAATACAAAATAACAAGTAAAAAATTGCACAAACTGAGTTTCAATGTCCACATCGACCTATTTTCACTTTAAAAAAAAAAAAATCTGAGAATTGCACAAACTAGGTATTGCGCACTCTCTTGACTTTGTCCATGTACACATCGAAGTCAAAGGAACAGCCAACAAAAATATATATAATCTCAATAAACTACATTTTAAATCAAACAATGAAATAACGTACAAAAGAAAAATTCATCTTAACACTACACAAACGAAATATCCACTTACCTTATTTAGAAATTTCTATGTCTTCAGTCAAAAAAAAGTTCCTTAATAGCATCCAAAAACTTCCTAAAATTATTTGAACTAGAATCTGTGTACTAGCATTGCTACATAAATTTAAAAAAACTGAGAGTAAAAAATATCCTTCGTAGTGCTGGTAACCTCCGGCACTCCGTATATTTTGTACATAATTAAATAAACATTATATTGTATGCAGTCAAAAGTCTTTAATCTAGACGTCCATAATCCGGACCTCAAAGCTACAAATTTTCTATGCATGCGTCAATGCATAATTCGTTAATGCATGCGCATAATACCTTTACGCATGCACATTTAATGTATAACGGACAGTATAAGCTAAGCTAAAATTATCTAATTATCTATTTCAGTTAATGTTGCAGATTGCGTTGTTCCTTAATCTTCTAATTGGATCCAGCTTATTATTTTTTGCAGATTGTTAGAGCAATTTTATAAAAGTAAGCTTGAACTCTCGATTATGTCAAAAAAAATTTCCAATTCTGGAACTACCAAAGGATCTACAAAGCGAAAGCATATTTCGATGTCCATCAAACAAAAAGTGGAGCTGCTGCAAAAAATGGATAAAGGCATATCCTTTGATTCTCTAATCATTCCGAAATATGTTTATCAATTTCAGGCTGCTCTGCGGTGGGGGGGGGGACTATGCTGCGCGCAATGAACTGGAAGTTGATCTGTCAGCACTATCCTTATCCAGGGATCGTAGCGGTCCTTATAAGTCCTTATATTTGAAAATAAAATATAAAGGCCCTTATAGGGTGCTTACTTTTTCTTTAAAGCCCTTATTTTTTGTTTTTAGTGCTTATTTTTTGCTTTAAGTGCTTTTTTTTTTTTTTTTAATGAACGCCCTATTTTTCAGGGTACCAAAGCCGAAACTAAATAAACAACTTTTCTTCCTAATATGGAATGTCAGATGGTGAATCATACTCCCGGAAATAGCTTTTCCCCTTTCTCTGCATTAACATAACCTTTGGTGTGCACGAAGAGTACAGACAGGTTGCCCGTCGTTCTATTGGTCAAAAAACTGCGAAAGTAATAAATAAAGGGAAAGTAATCGAATAGTCAAATAATTTTGTTTTTTTTGGCCAATACATTATACAGTACGAAGATTGGGAGGGTTCTCCCCTTTCTCCGCAAAATCTCGAA